CCCCGGGCCCGACCACAAGGCCCGGCTTTTTCCCTCCGCTCTACCGGTAACGGCGGAGGCGGGACTACGGTTCCCGTCAGCGCCACCGCGGGGGCTCCGAGCTCGGCCGGCCCCGGGCGGGGGTGGCGGGGAAGCGGGGCGGGGTGTGTGTGTGAGGGGGGGGAAGGTGCGCGACCCCGGCCCCGCTCCATGGCGGGGCGGCCCGGGCCGGGCGCGGGGCGGCGGGAGGAGGAGGAGGAGGCGGCGGCGGCGGCGGGCGGGGGCCGGCCCTTCCCGCGGGAGTGCTGCGAAGGGCTGGGCGGCCTGGACTACGGCCAGGTACCGGCGGGGGCCCGGGGTTTGCGGGGGGAGGACGGGAGCGGGCGGGGAGCGCCGGGCTCGCTGCGGGCCCGGGGGGAAAGGCCTGGCCTGTGGCGCTGCCGGGGGGGGCGGCCCCGGGGCCGGTGTGTGTGTGTCCCCCACGTTGGTCACCCCCTTCTCGGCCTCTCCCGGTGTCATCGCGGGGCTCAGTTGGCACGGGGGGGTGGCTGTAACACCCCCCCTGCCCCGGGCTGTGTCTGGGGGTGCAGCACACCCCCGGGGTGCGGGGTACCCCGTGCCGGGGCTCAGTTGGCACAGGGGGATGGCAGTAACACCCCCTCCGCCCCGGGTTGTGTCTGGGGGTGCAGCACACCCCGGGGTGCGGGGTGCCCCGTGTCTGAGGTGCAGCCACCATCGGCCCTGGCCTGCTTCCACCCCGGCACGCTCTAGACACGTGGCAAGGGCTGCACCGGCACCGCACGGGAGTCCCAGATGCCCACGCAGCTCTCGTCTGGGTGCCCACACAGCTCTTGCCCAGATGCTCGTGCATCACTTGCACAGATGCCCATGAAGCTCTTGTCCAGATGCCTGTGCGTTCTTTGCCCTGATGCTCATGCATCACTTGCCCAGATGCCTGTGCAGTTCTTGCCCAGATGCCTGTGCATCACTTGCCCTGATGCCCATGCAGCTCTTGCCCAGGTGCCCAAGGTTCACTTGCCCAGATGCCCGTGCAGCTCTTGCCCAGGTGCCCGAGATTCACTTGCCCAGCTGCGGGTGCAGCTCATGCCCTGATGCCCATGCATCACTTGCTCAGATGCCCATGCATCACTTGCCCAGGCACCCTTGCAGCTCTCACCCAGGTGCCCGTGCATGACTCGCCCTCCCTGACTTCAGGGCTGTGGGCCAGCATTTGCCACCATTATTTATCACCTATCGGAGAGGAGGGAGCAAAGTTGGATGTTCTGTGCCTGTTACGTGGCCGTCCCGGCAGCTTGCAGAGACAGCTCATCCTAATGGGCTCCCTTTTTATCCCTAAAAGCACATCCTAAGGCACAGGCCAATCTGCCTCCCGCTGGCGGCGGCGGAGTTTGGTTGTTGAGGAGGAGAAAAGAAGGTGAGAGCAATGCTAACGATGTTGCCAGCCAGGAGTTAGTAGGTCAAGAAGCTTTTGTTCAGCCCGTGCTGGCGGTGTGCTCAGCGCCGTACGAAACGAGAGGAAAGAAGCTGTCCTGGTCCCACGGGTTTCCAATTGAAGTGGGACCAGACAGTTCGGCCCCGGCGCCGGCGGCTGTCTGGGTGCCCAGGTTACGGCATGAAGGGTCCAAGTGTGATGGCAAAGGGCTGCTGGGGGGATGAAGGGAGAGGAGACGAGGCTGGGGAGGGTGGAAATAGTGGGAGAAGGGTCAGGATGAGGCCCTGGGGGCTGTTCCTTTCATTCTTCTCCAGCACCCATATCCCCAGGGCTGGGATGGAGGAGCCCGGGGGAGCTGGGGCGGTTTGAAGGCACCTGCAGACCCCCGTGAGGATCCCCCCCATTTCACCGGGGTGATACGGCCTGTTCTTGTGCACTTTGCACCATGGGTGTCCCGAGCGGCTGGACGTGTCCCAGGACAGCGTGGGAGCCATTCCCAGGTCCTTTGCTCTTGGCTAGGAGAGACAGCAGGTTTAGCAGCCCCTCTCCAAGAATCCCACTGCGGCTCTGGTTCCTTCAAAGAACCTGTGAGGAGCCAGGGGGAATT